GGCCGGTCTGTATGTGGGATCCGAACCCTCGGCGGGAGCGCCACCCCGCTTCCCAAGCGGCGCACTATAGCAGTGCGCCACCGGGCCAGCCCTAAACTTTTTAAAAGTAATTTTTACCTACTATTTTGTAGCTCATAACTTTATTAAGTTTTAGTAATTTACCATTGTTACCGACTTAAGAATATCAGCCAGAAGCATGAGCACTGCAGACCAGCTCTAAGGGCAGAACTGTCAGGACAGCTTCTAAGTCGCCACTGCGGGATCCTCCAAGCCCCTCACATGAGCCCCCCGAGAGGTCCTCCTGAGCAGACTCACGAGCCTAAACCGCCCCAGTACCACGGCCCATGGATCAGGGTTATGGACAGCCACCACCTGACCTGCTGGAACAGCTGACCTTACCCCCAGCCACCCGGCCGCTTGTGTGAGTCACAGGCCAGGGCCAGGGGCTCGCCCAGCGTGGCGATGGGCAGGGCAGCAGAGCCACACCTCGAGGTGGCAGGAAGTCCACCTAGAATCTCTTCCACGGTACTCCCAGCCCAATTTCTTTTTTTTTTTTATTTCCTTTTTGAGACCGGCCACACCGCGCTCAGCCAGTGAGCGCACCGGTCATTCCTATATAGGAACTGAACCCGCGGCGGGAGCGACGCACTCTCCCCAGTGCCCCACGGGCTCGGCCCTCCCAGCCCAATTTCAATGAATACCCAATTGTCTTGAATTCCCAATAAAGGCTTTTTATAAAGCATGTTTGTATGAAACTTCTAGAATCTGCTCTGCGCCAGGCTCAGGCCCTTTGTCCAGGTCTGGTCTCCTGAGCGTCCTCTCCCTGTTGTGAGCGCTGAGGCGGAGCTCGCTGGAATGAGGAGCCTCCATCCAGGTGACCACCGCTCCCCATGTGGTCAGAAGGAGAGCGCTTTCCACCTGCCAGGTGCAGCAGACGGGATGGCGGCAGGATAGACAAACCCCCAGCCCTCAGAAGAGGGTCCGAGAGGAGCCCGTGGAGACGCATCAGAGGCAGGAGGCCACTCCCAGAGAGAACAGAGGGGTGAGCTCGAAGTGCCAGAGCAGGGCTGAGCCCGGAATGGCTAAGACCAGCCTGCCCAGTCCCCGAGGGTCGGACCTTCTGCCCTGCACTGCCCCCATTTGCCCCTTTTTGTTTTACACCCTTACAGTTATTAGTATTAACATTTTTGAAAATTTCAAAATGGGAAATGTGAGAAGTGTGAGGTGATGAGCTCCATCCTTCACCATTGCGGAGGGTCAAACCATTGCCATCTGCACCCGTGCCCAGCAGTCAGTAAGCCCCGGGGGCGGCTGTGTCTGTCCACTCTGGCACCCCCTGGCACTGTGCACATGCACCCACAGCAGCGTCCCCACGCTAGGAGTGGTCAGAGTGCTGCGGGCATGGACTGGAAGAAGCAATTATAACAACAAACATCACAGGAGGCTGCACAGAGGTGGTGGCACTGAAGCACAGCCTGAGAAATGAGCTGAGTTTCAGGTGACAGGGCATGGGCTGAGGCGTGGTGGAGGGAGGCACAGGAAGGAAGGTGTGCAGAGCAGCAGGCGACAGTGAGCAGAACAGACCGGCTCCTTCTGAAGCTTCCCATCTGCTGCTGCTCCTTCCAGATGAGGTGACATCTGCTCAGCCGTTCCACCCACTCGGTGCCCAGGCAAGGCCACGCGTACTGTGGGCAACCACTGAGCGGGAGGCCAGGCTGGAAGGGTGGGTGGTGTCCATGTGCTCTGGAGTGCCGTGGCGGGTTTCAGACATGACGATGGTGGCAGCGCATCTGTCCCACATGCTCTTCTCACTGTGTGGTCCGAACTCCCACTGATGGGCAGTGCCTGTTTCCTCCCTTTGTGACCACGGCCACAGAGATGCCACACAACTTCTGGGCCAGGCCACAAGGGGCAATATGATTCCCACCTGGTTCTCTCTGGATGCTCAATCTTGGGACCAGGCTGCCGTTCTGTGAGGGAGCCCAAATCAGCCCAAGCTGCGTGGAGAGACGCATGGCGCAGTGCCTGCTGAGGGCCCAGCCAAACGCCAGTGCGTGTGCAGGTGCCTCCAGATGGTTCCAGCCTGGAACCCAGCCTCAGGGTCTTCTCAGCTGAGACCCCAGACATTACGGATTCCTGACCCGTCAGAAAATGGTTGTTTTGTGCCACAAGTTTTCAGCATTTGTGTTAATGCAAGACCTTGAATGTTGTTCTAAGAATGTTGAGTGCGTGAGGTTTTCACTGGGTGACAACTGCTAGGGTTCATAATTCAGAAAACCAGTCTATTACATCATGCGTTACAGACGGCTGATACCCATGGAATGTTTCATAAGTGGACCAAAAGAAAGGCCTGCTCCTTTTTGGCACTTAAAAGTGGTAGCCTGAGAACTGAGCCAGGGAACTCATGGGCAGGAGCTCCGAGAGGACACAGGCTAACACAGCTTTTTCTCCTTGGCCCTTCTACCCACTGGCCCTAGGGGAACCCTGAGGACTGTGTCCTAGACAGCAAGGTGAGAGGCTGGGAGGGAGGCAGGGACTGGCCTGGGAGGGAAAATCTCCTGGGAACTGCAGAGTCCACTCAGGCCCAGTGTCTGCCTCTAGGGAGAAGTAGCAGGTGATGCTCCTTGGGGTGGGTGGGCTCTGTCTCAGCCACGTTTGCCTCTTGGACGCTACACCTGATGCTGAAGCCCTGAGCTTGCTGCTCCCCCTAGAATGGCAGTTCTTCACCCACCCCCACCTGAAGAGAGCTCACCTGGCATGTTCTCATTTAGAAGCTCTGCAGAGCACGTGTGGTTTGAAGTATCCCCGGGTGGCCCTGATTCCCCCCCCGACACACCCAGGCTTGGTTAGGAGGGCTCAGGGCTGCTGGGCCCCTCATCCCCTCACTGCACAGGCTAGACTTGCCCAGTGCCTTTGTCCACCTGCCAGCTGATCTCATACCATGATGCAGGCGTGGGCCTTGTGGTAGTAGGCAGCATGCATGCTCTGGAACCGCTCCTGGCCTGCCGTGTCCCAAAAGTCTGCAACATGAACACAGCTGTGACTGCCTGATGAGGGCTGGAGGGCAGAGAGACCCACACGCCCTGAGCATTTCTGTGCAGGTCTGTGTGTGCAGAAACATGACACATATGTGGTACAAACCACAGCACATGGGAGTGCACGTGGGGAGCTCAGGGAGGAACAGAGACCACACAGGACACAGGGCCAGGGGTCAGGAGGAAGGATGATGCATACAGGAAGCCTCAGGAGGGAGAACACAGCTGCGCCCTTGTCCCTACACACAAGGTGCAGGGCCCTCCAGGGTCTAAACTATGCCAGTGTCCCCCGTGCAGTGACCACAGATGGTGGACACACAGGCAAGAGGTGTGGCCTGGCCAAGGAGAAGGGTGCAACCTCATGGAAGGCCAAGACCCAGTGTGGGGGACGGTCAGATCGCACTGGTTATTTCCTTACACTGACCGATGAGAACCCGAGACAGGAAGCTGCGGCCTTGTCCACGGCCTCTGCACTCCCTCCTCTGCAGGAACAGCTGTGAGCTTTTCTGCTTTTCTGAACTCGGCCCCTGCGTGCCTCCTCCCAACGCCCCTGGCCTCCTGGCTCTCGGGTTCTGTCTGTCACCCCCGCTCCTGCCTGAGGTCCCATTTCCTCCTTCCTCCTCTGTCTCCCACGGACGTCCTCTCACCTCCCCTCCCCTTTGGCCCCATGCTGCTCACCCACAAGGATGGTCTTGCCGTCCACCGTTGCTGTGTGTTTGTACAGGGTCAGGGCGTACGTGGACAGCTGCTGGGGCTGGCTACGCGCAGGTTAGGGAGCAGAGCGGACGCGAGGGCACGGGAGGGCAAGGAATGGGTGTTCGGTGTGAGGGAACAGGCCGCTGCCTACTTTTCTTTGTGCAGTTATTTAGATTTTAAATTGAATGAATGCTGCACACAAGATCAGCTTCAAATGTCACCGGCACGAGCTCCGTGGAAGGGTGAGGAGTGGGGGGGGGGGCTGGAGTGTGATCGGATTTTACAGAGAAGCTGTCATAAACGGTATCATGTACTTGGAAAATGTAAATGTGGATGCCCAGCTCCTTCCTGGATGGAGTTTTTGCAGGCTAGGAAAAAAACCCTAACCCCAGGCCGGGGAAGGGTGAGGGGTGGGGGGGGGGGCTGGAGTGTGATCGGATTTTACAGAGAAGCTGTCATAAACGGTATCATGTACTTGGAAAATGTAAATGTGGATGCCCAGCTCCTTCCTGGATGGAGTTTTTGCAGGCTAGGAAAAAAACCCTAACCCCAGGCAGCTACACGACCATTCCAGGGAAAAACACTCTCGCCAGCCAGAAAGCTGACAAGCTGTTTATAATTGTAGTTTGTTTCTGTGTGAAACCCTAACAAAAAGCCTGGGGAATGACAGCTCCTACAGCTGCAAGACGCTGGACCACTTAACTAGCAAAGCCGAGATGATGCAAGGGGCTGGGTGCACAGGAGTGCCTGGCACAAGGTACAAGCAAGACATGCTCAGATCCCAGCCTTGGGGGACCAGGCCCAGGGGCCCTTCTCTCCATGGTTCTCAGCGAATCCACCTGGGAAGCTTTTTAAAAGCTACCCAGTTGCAGGGAGGACCTCACTCCAAACCTGCACAATGCAACAATTCATAGAGGAGGGAGGGGCTGGCAGCTCATATTTTACAAAGTTCATTCATATCAGAGATATTTTTAAAAATTAGGGGGCCCAGGCTTTGAAGTCAGAGAGGTTAGATGACCTGCCCAAGGTCACGGCTGCTCAGGAGGAGGTGGTGGGGTTTCAATCCAGGCATCTGATCCAGACCAGGTGCTGTTGCCCATTCTCCTGCGTTCTTAATAGAAAACAAATCCAAACACGAGTCATCTCCAAGATATACAGCACTGAGTGTGTGATGTCATGTGGGTTATCTGACAAGACACCAGTGTGAATGAAACCTGGGCACTCACTACCTGTCCCTCCTTCCTGGACTGCTGGTGCAAAGGGCTGGGTGGAGGCACTGAGTGTGTGCATGTGGGAAGAGCCACAGGGACAAGTGCATCTCAAACCTTGAAGGATACAATCCATCCATGAGAAATCTTTCCATGAGTCTGTAAGGAGAACATGCAGGACAGTCAGGCGGCGTCCCCGTCCTCCCTGCCCCTCCTTTATCACCCCCAGGCTGACAGGCCTCCCCTCTCCTGTTCACTCCACAGCTACCCACTCTCTGGTCACGCCTGAAACCTGGGAATCACCATCACCAACTCCTCATAGCAGAATGTCACTACGAGTACACAGACCAGACCACGCCAGGTCTCAGATCCATTATTTCCACCTCAGCACAATGCTGCACATACCATCACCCCCACTTCATGCATGGGGAGGCAGGAAGGATGTGCCTTCCACCTGGGAGCCACTGACCCTAGATTCTGTGGTCCTCCAGGGCTTTGCTCAAATGTCACCCAAGCAGGGAGATAGTCCCTGACAACCCCATTTACAACAGGAACATTCTACCTCATCTTGTACTCTTTTGTCCCTGCCTGCCCAGCACACGACACCAACTGGGATATTAAGTATTTTACTTATTCACCGTCTCTCTCTCAGTCAGAATGGAAGGTGCACGAGAGTAATTTTTGAATTCATAGTTTATTCCTGCATCCCCATTGCATAAGATGTTGCTGAAGGTACAGTGGTGCTTAATCAGTATTTGAATAAATGAAAGTGAACATAGTTAAGAAGCTTAATTTAGTACAGATCACTGGATCCCATGAGAGAATATCATAACACCTGACCGCCAATCAGACCATACAGTAAGTCTCCAAAAAAACCCACTCTCCCTCGAAAAGACATATCAAGACCATGTTCTCTGACCATAATGCAATTAAGTTACAAGTAAAAAACCAAAACCAAATTTTAACACCCTTATATTTTAAAATTAAAAGATAATCAAACATATAAAACCATTTATAATAACTTATAGGTTAGAAAAGAAATAAAGGATACTTAAGAAACATTTAAGACTGAAAGATATAAAAGTTCTATATAATTTCTGCTTATGAGAAAATAAAGTAGATGTACTTTTCCCATTTCCCTTCTAGGGACAACTAAAAACCCTGGATATTATAGAAATCAAATAGAAGAAGACTCTGGAAAGCAGGAAGTAGGCAGATGGGTTGGGCCCCTGGGGCCCAAGGAGCAAGGTGACACGTTCTCTGGATGCTCTTTGTGCCCCTACATCCCAGATTTGAAGCTGAAGAAGCAGGCAACTGGATACACCAACGAGCAGACAAAAAACCAAACCCAAATAAAACACCCACCAAAACATCGACAAAGGAACAGGCCGGGGTGAACCTAGAGTGAGAGGAAACAGACTATAACCACCATCCAAACACCAGGGAAAGAACCGTGACCCCACCTCCACCCCAACAGCACGGCCAAGGCGACAACGAGGCTCTCCAACAACGTCCCCAAGCTGTGCTGGTGTCACAGAAAGCCAAGCAGAGCTGCAGCTCTCATCCGTGTCACAGGGTAACACGGCCCCCTCTCCCCACAGTGTCAGTGGAGACCATGGGAGCCCGGACTTCACGCCCCGGCAGCGATGGGGTCGTGGGCGTAGGGGTGGGTGGGTGCTGCCTAGTAACACGGCCCCCTCTCCCCACAGTGTCAGTGGAGACCATGGGAGCCCGGACTTCACGCCCTGGCAGCGATGGGGTCGTGGGCGTAGGGGTGGGTGGGTGCTGCCTCTGAAAAACAGAAAACAAAAACTAAAATGGCAGACTTAAGCCCCAATAAACCAATAATTACAACTGATTCTCATTATTCACAGAACTTATGTTCTATAAGGTCTTCACAAAACTGAATTAGTGAATACTGAACCATTGCTCTTCAGGGAAAGACAGAGTTAGGTTCCTACGAGCCTCTGATTGCAACATTTTCATCAACTAATCAATATATAACCTTGTTTTATGTGTGCTTCTGTTTAAAGACACCTTATTTAATATACATTGTTGATTCATTAACACTGACCTCTTGGCCAACAACACTGTAAATCATGCTTGAACGAAGCTTATCTAACACATGTATTTCTCCATAAGGCACATAACAGCCTTTTACAAGGTCTAATAGTACAAACAACTCTACACACATAAATTTGGCAAATTAAACAAAATGGGTCACTTCCTGGAAAAGACCAAATTTCAAATCTCACCCAATATGAAACAAGTCATCTGACTATCCCTATAACTATTAAGAAAATTGATTTCATAATTAGAAGAATCCCCCAAAAGAACTCTCCAGGCCCAGAATGTTTTAGGGAGAATTTTACCAAACATTTAAAGAATTAACACCAATTTTACACAATCTCTTCCAGAAAAATAGAGAAGGAAGAAACATGGCCAGTTAACCCCGATACTAAAACCAGACAAAGACAGTACCAAAAAAAGAAAAAAGAACGAAACCCCACAAAAACTACAGATTAATATCCCCCATGAATATAGATGCCTAAGTCATTAGCAAAATATTAGCAAATAGATTCAGAAATATACAGTTATACACCATAAGCAAATGTGATTTACTTCAGAGATGCAAGGCTAGTTCAAGAATTGAAAATCAATGTAATCTGCTGTATTAACAGGTTAAAGAAGAAAAATCATGATTATATCAATCAATGCAGAAAACATATCTGAAAAAAATTCAACACCCATTCATGATAAAAACTCTAATAAAATTAGAAACAGAGGGGAACCTCCTCAACTTGATAAAAAGCCTTTGCAAAAGTCTACAGCTAACATCATACTCAATGGTAAAAGATAGAATGTGTTCCCCTATGATCATGAACAAGGCAGAGATGTTCACGCTTACCACTATTATTTAACATAGTACTGGAAGTTCTAACCAGTGGAATAAGGCAAGAAAAGGAAATAAAAAGAATAAGATCAGAGAGAAGAAATACAACTGCCCCTATTTGCAGATGCCATGATGGTCTACATAGAAAATTCCAAGGACTCTCCAAAACACTCCTAGAAGTAATAAGTGAGTCTAACACTGTAGCAGGGTACAAGATCAACATAAAAATCAATTGTAATTCTATATACTAGCAATGAACATGTGGATACTAAAATTGAAAATATGAAACCATTTATAATCACTAAAAAAAAATCTATATGTAAATCTAACAAAACATTTGTAGGACTTGTATGCTGAAAAGCACAAAATACTGATGAAACAAATTAAAGATGACTCACATGTGGAATATAAAAAAAAGTGGTTTTCGTAGAAGTAGAGAGTAGAATGGTGATTAGCAGAGGCTGGGGAGGGGAAGGAGGCGAAGTTGCTGGTCAACAGGTACAAAGTTGCAGTTAGACAGAGATAGTAAGTTCTGGGGTTCCAGGTTGACTACAGCTAGTAATACTGTGTTGCATATTTCAAAATAGGTAGAAATGAGGACCTTGAAAGTTATTACCACAAATAAATGATAAATTTAAGGGGATGAATATGCTAACTACCCTGAGTAGATCATTATGCAATACATGCATGTATTGAAACAACACACTGTACCCCACAAATACATACAATTAAAAATAAAGAAATCAAAGAAGATCTAAATGAATGGATACAAATTGATACAAGGTTCAATCCATCAAGAAGATAAAGTTATAAAAATATATACACCTAACAATAGAGCCACAAAATATATGAAGCAAACATTGACACAACTGAAGGGAGAAAGAGATAGTTCTACAATATTTAGAGACATCAATATCCCACTTTCTTTTTTTTTTTTTTTTTTTCCCCTTTTTGTCTTTTTTCGTGACCGGCAACGGATCGCAACCCTCAGTGTCGCGCCCGTACCGGACTGGGACCGACAACGGGATCACAACCCTCGGTGTTGCGCCCGCTCCTCGCTCAGCCAGTGAGCGGCCGATCTGTATGTGGGATCCAAACCCTCGGCGGGAGCGCCACCGCGCTCCCAAGCGGCGCACTGCAGCAGTGCGCCACCGGGCCGGCCCAATATCCCACTTTCAATAATGGATAGAACAGTTAGACAGAAAATCAACCAGGGAACAGACGACTTGAATAACACTACAGACCAATTAGATCGAACCAATGTGTAAAGAATACTCCACCAAAAACTGTAAAATACAAATTCTTCTCAAGTGAATACAGATTTCTAGAATAGACCATATGGTAGGCCACAAAACAAGTCTTGATAAAATTAAAAGACTCAGATCATACTAAGTATCTTTTCTAGTGACAATGGAATAAAACCCTAACTCAATAACAGGAAAATGTGAAAATTCACAAATATGTGGAAATTAAACAACACACTCTTTGACAACCAAAGGGTCAAGAGGAAATTACAAGGGAATTGTATTAGTCTGTTTCTGTTGCTTATAACAAAATACATGGAACTGGATGATTTATAAAGAAAAAAAACTTATTGCTTACAGTTTCTGAGCCTGGGAAGTACAAAGTCCATCCAGTGGTGCTGACAATGACCCAGGGGTCTCACATTGCAAGATGGTGGAAGCAGAGAGAGAGAGAGAGAGACACAGACAGAGACAGACTCTCCTTTTCTTTTAAAGCCCTCAGAACCAGAACCACACCCCTGACCACCATTTTCAATCCATCCACTACTGCACAGTCCTACAATCCAATCACTTCTTCAAGGCTCCGCCTTTCAGTTACCATAATAGGATTTTCTACCCTCTTAACAGTCACAGTGGGGGCTAAGTTTCTAATACATAAAACTTGGGGAACACAATTCAAGCTTCAGTGAGTTTTGTGGGACATAATTCAATCCACTACAGGAATTTAGAAAATATCTTGAGACAAATGAAAACAAAGACACAACATACCAAAACTTATAGGATGAAATGAAAAAATGCTAAGAGGGAAATGTAATGTGCAGCTGTAAACACACACATTAAAAATGAAGAAAGATATCAAATCAATAACCTAGAAAAACAATAGAGAAAATCAATAACACCAAAAATTGGTTCTTTGAGAAGATTAACAAAATTGACAAACTTTTAGCTAGATTGACTAGGAAAAAAGAGGCAAGACACAAATTATCAAAATCAGAAATGAACCTGGGGACATGAATACCAAT